CCGCCCTCGTCCTCCTCGTCCTGCTCCCTTTGCCCACAATCCTCCTCGTTCTTGTTCACTTCTCCTCTCCTTCTTTTCCGCCTCCTCCTTCCCTGGTTTTCCCTTGTCCTCCAACCCCTCTTCCTCTTCCTTACTCCTTGTCCTCGTCCTCCCCCCCCCCTCCCCCCCATGCTTCCTACTCCTCCCCTTCCTAGCACTCTTCCCCCTTCACACCTCCTCCACCCCCTGACGGCACCGCAGGAACCTCATGGTCTCTCTCTTCGTCGATCGCTTCAGCAAGCAGATGGACATGGAGCGGCAGGTCAGGAACGCGCGGCCCAGGGCCCTGCAGGTCAGCAGGGAGCGGCTCCCGCAGATCTGGGACCAGCCAGACGAGGATTGGAAGAGAAGGCTGTCAGGGATGACGAGGAGGAAGAGGTTCAGAGGCTTCATGCACGCCTGCTTCCTCGCCAACTTCGTGGTGCTGCTGCTGCAGAGCTACAAGCAGGGCCAGTGGCAGACTCGCCTGTACGAGGTGGCGAATGTGTTCTTTGCGTTCGTTTTCAACACCGAGGTGGGTCGGGGAGTCTCTCCTCCTGCTCCTGCTCCTCTGACTTTCGTGCTCCTCCTGCTCCTGCTCTTGCTCCCCCTCTTCCTGCTTGATTTCCTTCTTCTCTCGTCTCGCTCTCCTCCTTCTCTCATCCTCCTCTCGTCTCCTACCCTTCCCTTCCCCTACCTCTTACATGTCCTCCCTCCCTCTCCCCCCCCTCTCCCCCTTCCTCATCTCACTTGCCCCAGGCTCTGCTCAAGATCCTGTCCGCCAATCCAGCCGTTTTCTTTCACGACACGACTCAGTGCCTCGACATGTTCGCAAACCTCTGCATTTTCTCCGGCATCGCCCTCGACTACATGAAGCAGCACACGCTGGCGGGCTCGTCCTGGGGTTCCCTCAAAACCTTCTTCCTCGACCCCCTCACCACCTCCATCATCCGCTCCCTCCGCATCTTCCGCCTCACCCACTGGGTCTCCGTCCTCCGTGCTGACTTTGACTTCGGCACTATCATCAACTTCCTGGTCGCCGCTGCCGCCATCCTGCTCGAGCTCTCCCTCGTCCTCGTCATCGTCATCTTCATCTTTGGCGTCCTTGCCGTCCAGCTCTTCGGTAACCTCTGCAGCAAGGAGACCAACACCAGCGCACGAGATTCTCTGAGGTGATCCTTCTCTCCTTCTTATTCCTGCTTGTCCCTTAGTTCCTCCCCTCCATTCGTGTTCTCTTGCCCTGTTTCCTCTCCTCTTCTCCCTCCTCTGTTGTCTTGCTTTCATCTCTACCCTCCTCCTCCTCTCCTGGAACCCTTGTGACGAGCCTCAGGTGTCTCCTGATGGAGGAAGCGCACAAACTGCCCGCACACGTCAGTTTCGTCGACCTGGGGTCTGCCGCCATCACCCTCTTCGTCGTCTCCATGGGCGACGGCTGGACGTCCCTCATGTCTGCCTGCTCCATCAGCGCCAGCGACTACCCGAGGACAGAAAACTACATGCAGGTTGTCATCCCCAACCTACAGGCCTACCAGCTCTTCAGGAACACTCCTGTAGGACGGGAGGCCCTAGCGACCGCCAAGTACAACCTCCCGGGTAATCCTCCGTGCGACTCTTGTTCTGTCGCCTCCCCTTCCCCCTCTGAGATCGTTGTCGTTCACTCTCCCTATCTCATTCCCTCCTTCCTCCTCGTCTTCCAACCCTCCCCCTTCTTCTTTCATCTTCCCCTGCTCCTTCAATCTGCAACCCTCCCCCCCCCTCCCCCCTCTATTGCTTCTCCCTCGCTCTCCTATGATCCCTCCCCTCCTTTCTCGCAGGCTGCGTCTCAGGCTCGGAACTTCAGCTCCTCAGCGCCGCCGGCATCATCAACTGCAACAAGGACGTCCTCGCGTGCGAAGGGACGTGCGGGTCCCTCGCCTCCTTCTGCTTCTTTCCCGCCTTCTTCCTCCTCGCCAACGTCGCCGTGCTCGCCATCATCGTTGCAGCTCTGATTGAGCAGGTCTCGGCCAACGAGCTCCCCCTCTCCGGCATGCTCACGACCACCATGACCATGCGCAAGTTTCATGCCATGTACTGGGTGTGGAAGAGGAAGGCGAGGGGGAGGCAGAAGCTCGGCATCGTACCGGACGAGACCAAGTGTCACTTCTACAAGACCATGTACCTCGAGTCCATCCCTGACAAGAGGAAGGCGGCAGAGGAGGAGGCAAAGCAGCCGGTGAAGAGGAAGACTGCGAGGAAAGAGAAGCCCAAGCATGTCTCGTACCGTCAAGAGGCTCAACCCGTGCCTGGGAAGAAGGAGGGGGAGGAGGAGGACGCAGCGGTCCTCGCTCCACTTTTCGAGACTGAGGACTACGAGTTCAACGGGGGGCAGGAAGCGACGGTTGACGGAGAATTCGAGCAGCTGCTGAGCCGGCTGAGGAGGAGGGAGAAAAGTCTGCTGCGGGAGTGGAGGAAAAAAGCCTTTGTCGCCTCCGACTTCTCTCACTTCCTCGAGTCTGAGCAGCGAGGAGGCCTGCGCGACTTTCTGACGGACGTGGAGGAGCTGGAGGCCATCAAGGTCAAGTGCGACGACCTAGTGGAGAGGAGGTGGCAACTGTGGCGAAGCACTGAGGGGAAGAAGGGCAAGGGAAGAGCTGCAAGGACGGACGCTCTCCACACCATCAGGATGCTGCAGGCTCTCCAGAAGTGGATCCTGCGCGACAGGGCAGAGGAAGAGGAGAGGATGGAGCTTGAGATGCAGTCGCTCAACTACGTCATCAAGCAAGACGTGCGGGTACAGCTGGGGTTGGAGCAGGTGAGGGTCCGGAAGGCCTCCCTGCAACATAACTCAGACCAGCTGCTCCGCTTCCTCCAGGCCCGGGAAGATCAGGTCCTTGCCTTTGTCCGAACTCACGAGCAAGACCCCAGCGGTAGTCTGGGCCAGCATGCCCAACGGCCCGAGCATGAGGCTGACGAGGACCAGGCCGCCATCGCCGTCAGCAAGGAAGAGATCTTGAGCAGCCTCGGCATCAAGCCCCTCGCCAACCTCCTTCGAGAATGCGCAGAGAGCGGCTGGGACGCTACTGATCCCCCCAGCCTCCCCCTTGGGAGCCATGGCAGCCTGGTGAACCCCCGGGAGGCAGACTTCCAACCGCAGCAGGTGCAGCCGGAGGAGGCGGAGGAGCTGGCTAAGTCGGCCTCCTTCTCAGCCTTTAATCACTTCATGCCCGGTGAGCCTTGGCGGGCGCTCCTCTCTCCTCTCTCCTCTATCCTTCCTCTCCTTTCAGCCAGCTTCCTGCCTGCAAGTTGACCCGACACAGGAGAACGAGTGGTCGTGCGGAGGAAGGACGGGAGCTTCAGCGTAGGGACCGTGACCAAGGAGCGTCCGGGGGACCTCGTCGACGTCTCGCTGGGTAAGATGGAGGGGAAGGAGAGCTCTAGAGCCTCGTACGCCAAGAAGGTAAGGCTGGACAATAGACATTGCTGGCTTGCCCCTGGTCACTTGCGCTCTGCAGACCCTGCCGACCTGGATGGTGGGGAAGTTCAAACCGTCAACAGTGACAGCAGACCTGGTGGTCATCAAAGAGGTCCAGACTGGATCAGACGACGAGTCCTTGGCCGAGAATCCGATCAGGACCATCTGCTCCAACGCGAAGATGAAGATGGAGGTAGATACTCTCGAGCGATCTCTGAGCTCTGAACTGCTGGTTGCCTTCGCAGAAAGGCAACCTTCACTCCGCCGAGAAGCGTCTACAGCGAGGGTGAGGACACTACCCAGATCATGTCTCGTACTTGGCCAGTCATCTTGACGCAACCGCAGCATGCGCATGTTTCCTACGTCCATCGAGATCCTTTCAACCTACTCGGAGCTGCTGCAGGTGAGACAACAACTGAGGACATGAACTCTGCTGTTCTGACAAGTTCTGCATCGCTGTAGCTGCAGGGACAAACTGCTGGCTCAGCCCTCTTCCAGGCTCGGATTCGACAGCTCAAAGGTCAGTTCCTCTTACCATCCGGTTCGATTCGATCAAGCAAAATCTCCCTGCTCCTTTTCCTCTCTCTACGGACCCCGGCTGCCCTCGCGGACTCCCTCTCCCTCTCCCTCTCCCTCTCCCTCTCCCT